ATATCCCGCCTATCTAGTCGGTTAGGACCACTCTTGAGGCATCCAAAATAGAATATGTCTGCTATTAAACATGGGTGTTTTAGGGGGATTTAGCTGCATGATTTAGCTGCATGATTTTTTTTCAAAAGTAGTGAAGCTGCACCACAAATCAATTCAGAAAAGAACCTATCACTAAGCATCATTCAGTCATGGCTACCTGTTTACTATAATGACTGCCTTGGAATTTTCACTCAAGGCCTTAAGCACCCCCTTCTGCCACACGTCTAGGTAAAAAGGTTAAGGTTCCCCTTGACATTTTTAGTCCAGTCGTGTCTGACTCTAGGGGGCGGTGCTCATCCTGTTTTCAAGCTGTAGAGCCAGCGCTTGTCCGAAGACAGTTTCTGTTGCCACGTAGCCAGCGTGACTAGGGAACGCTGTTTTACCTTCAATCCGAAGTGGTACCTATTTATCTACTTGCATTTGCATACTTTCGAACTGCTAGGTTGGCCAGGAGCTGGGACAAAGCGATGGGAGCTCACTCCGTCGTGTGGATTCGATCTTACGACCGCTGGTCTTCTGACCTTGCAGCACAGAGGCTTCTGTGGTTTAGCCCACAGCACCACCACGTCCCTTCCCACACGTCTAACTGCATTTAAACATGAAAGGAGTTCTAAAAGCAGCTTGTGACTGAAATGAAGATGAGCTGTTCAAAACCAGAATCATTCACTGGAATAGCTCAAATTCTGTGTCTGAGCCTAAGCAGTGCACGTCACTCAGGCCAGCTTTTACTTGGAGCATACTAGTAACAATAACTGTTGTCAGCTGCCTTCAACATGTCTTTCATTTGTGTGTCCATGGGTACAGTATATATTTCTGCAAGATAACAGCAAGTGGAATAGTAATTGTCTCCGTCGGCCCTGGGATAAACAAAAACATCCCCAACACCAAATTGCTAAATTTCTTGCCTTCCCTGGAGAGTTTTGCTACCCAAGAAAAAAGGTGTCCACAGAGGCCTGCCTGTTTCCTCCTGTTTTTCTTCCATGCCCCATTTCTGGAGAAAGAGGAGAAAATAATGTGGACATGCTTAGTAATTACCAAACAGAACCAAGACACACTATACCTCCCACACCAATCACATTTGCCTTGGTCGCATGGTACACTCTGATCCTCCTGCCTCCAACATTCTTATGGTACTAACAGAATTTGCAGAGACACCAAAGGGAGCATGGAAGAGAAAGTCAAACATCCATGATCTTCCCTGGAACTAGCTAGTTAGAACCATGTACTAATCAAACAATGCCTTAGGCATGCAGACAAAATTGTAGTACCAATGGCATGGCACTAAACCTCTCCCTCCTCTGTACATATTTCTATAAGCCCCCGGAGCCCAACTGTACTTGCACTGCCAGCTCAGATCTCAGTGAACTTAATGGGACTGATGCCAGCCGAATGATTTAACACCCCTAATGGATAATATATTCTTGAGGCATCCAAAATAGAAGATGTCTGCACTTGCCCACAGAGAATGCATGATGTCTCTCCTGTTTCAAAGGTCTGGCAAGCCAGATAGCTTGAGCAAAACTGAAGTGAGAGTACACAACACTTGTGGATTGTCAAGGTTTGCTGCAATCCACAATTAGGCTAGATTTCTGAAACAGAAAACTCTTCTGAAGATTAAACACATATGCAAAGCATGGTGCTTCCTTTAAAACTACGCTTGAAGCAAAGCAGTACAAGAAAAACTTACACTGAAATCCAAAAACTTTCCACATTTTGAAATTCAAATTGCAGGTTGAAAATATTATTTTAGAATTTGAGTAGTACAGACATGAGGACAGGAAGGCCTGGCATGCTCTGGTCCATGGGGTCACGAAGAGTCAGACATGACTTAACAACTAAACTACTACTACTACTACTACAGGTATTCCCATTCTTTATTTTTCAAAATGCTTTAGGTATTTTTCTTCATTATCATCTTTATCTTCCTTCATACTTTTGGTGAGACTGTAAACGTGTAGGCAGGGATTTCTTAACTGCTCAAGCAGTTAAGAAATAATATTACTTCTTAATGAACATAAAGTTGAGAGCAACAACATTGTTACAATCCAACATTCTCAGAATGAATTCCATTTGATGGCTGGAATGCTATACAATAAACTGACATCAAACATTAGGGATGGGACTTTCATCTATTTCCATAACTCTGCAGGGAAACTTCCCAGGCCAAATGAAGGGAGCCACAGCCCCAAAGCAGGTAGAACACACATCCACCTCATCTGTATTTGGTCCGAATGCCATTCCTCAGGTAAGAAGGGACTATGGATATACAAAATTCCTTAAGACCTGAATTCCAACAAGCACTGGGGCAGCTTCCTTTTCAGGGTTAAATTATATTAAATTAAATACATAAGAAGCAGCAGAAAATTGCTGCCATGCCCCACCTGGCTCAGTCATATTCAGGAACCAGAAGGGGCCGGTGACCAAGTGGAGCTTAGTGGTCCGGCTGACAGTATTTTGGGGGAATCTTTGGAAAGAAGTGCTGAGGCCAATTCTGCCAGTGAGCCATTGGGATTATGAGAAGAAGCCCATGAGAGCCATTTGGCCAAGAGAAAGGTGACAGCTAAGAAAATTCAAGCAAAAGCAGAGTCAGTGTCTCAAAGTCTCTTGATAACTAATTGGAAAAAGCTAAATGCAGGGAAAAGGCACACTGTGAACTATAAATTTTCTTAGCTACATCAGTCAGTTTGTGGAGGATAACATGTTACCAGTCTCTCAGCAATAACCATCTTTCATCACCTGGACTCCTCCAAACAACTTTCAACCTGGATTGTCTGTCGAACTGCTTTTGTCTGTTCCTGTGATTTAAAATGACAAATTACTTCCACCACATTTTTTTACTTGATCGACAGACACTGACAACCACTCTTTCGGGAACTGAATTGGCTTTGAGGACACAGCTCAGCACTTGCTACACACATACATAAAAACTCCTTCCTTTTTTCCCCCCAAAAAGCACATATCTTCTTTGTTTTTTAGCCCTCATGCAGGGCTTAGCTCCCTATGGAAAAGCCCAATATTTTTTTTTTTTTTTTTGCCAAAAAGCACATATCTTTTTTGTTTTTTTAGCCCTCATGCAGGGCTTAGCTTCCTATGGAAAAGCCCAATGCAACACCAGACTATAACATTTACTGTTAATATTTTTGCTAATATGTCTGTATTTTTAAAAGCTCATTTATCCATTTTAGCAGTCTCTGACATCTAGCATCTATCAACGTCCTTATTATGCTTTTAATCATGAAAACGAAAATGTGCATTCATGAAAGGATCAGCTATTCTTCAGGCTTGTACATCTACGATGTTGCCAGACATGTTCTATGAATTTGCAGGAAGTGATGTCAACATTACATCTACTCCAATCCTCCAATGAAGAATGGTGGATCTGTTGCTCAGTTGCAGAACAAAAGGTTTTATACACTGAAGGTTCTAGATTCACTCTCTGGCATCTTCACATAGGGCAGTAAATACTTCTGCATATAATAATAATAATAATTCTATACAGCTCCTGAATGTCAGTATTGACAATATTGGCCCAGATAGTGCAATGTTTTGATTCAGTACAGAATTTTTCTTGCATATCTACGTTATTTGAAACTGCAACCTCAAGTAGCAAGTATATCCTTATTTCTGACTTGCCTGGGCTTCTCATCAGAAGGAGCGGCCAAAACCATTAGTGCCTGTATGCTTTTCTTGGAGTGTGTGTTGTACATTTTGAGAGGTGTCTACAGTAAAGGTAAAGGCAAAATATGAGGCCCTATATGAGAATTGGAGAGATTTTCTTAGGACACATATTTTGCCTGTGCGTTTTTCTCAGCTCTTCTGTAAAATTTGCACTTATGGGCACCTACGTGCTGTACTTAAAGAACAAGTGTGTGTTCAGACAAAAAGGAAGATCAGTTTGACCTCCTTTCCCCCTATTTTTCTTCAACACACACAGTTTAGAACAATCTCACTTTATTGTCATCAACAATTTCTTCTGCCAGATTATTTTATTACAAAGTTCTACCTTTCCTCTTCATATCAAATTCACTCCAGGTGGCTATGCAGAAAGAGAATGGGATATTTATAAATAGAGTACAGAGACAATTTTTCAATATGAAAGTGGGTCTCCTATTTGATGTTAATTCAGATAGAGTTTTACTCGTTTGGGAGCAGTGTGCAAGGCACCTTTGTTCTCCATGAGCAGTCTCTTCAGCAAGCACTCACTGTGGGCAATACTAAAGTGGGGACCCTCAGAAACATCTAGCAGCAAAGCCAGCTATAAGATAATAGAAGTGCTTGATCTGATCTGTCAGCTCTCATGTTGTGTTTATGCTTACATGAAGATGGTCAACACCTGGGGGTTTTCACAGGTAAAAGAAAATAGTTTAATTTAGCTGGCCCTCAGGCATAAGCATATAACGGACCATTCTACAAGCACCCGAAAAGTTACTTAGGAAGGTTCAAACAGAATTACAGAATAGGGACTGGACAGTGGTGACATGGGAAGAAAATTCAGGAAGTAATAGGAAGGAACAAGAGAAGAATAAATCCTCTCTGATGGTAGAGAGTTGTCATTTCCAGTTATGAAAATTCCTCAGTGTTATGATTTACCTGAAAGCTCGTCATCTTTGACACAATGAACAATTCCACTCATATCACATTCCTACTTTTTCTCTGCTTATCTCAGGGATGAGGAGGCAAGGGTGGTGAATTTTTCCCAAAATCACTCTTGCTTCTCCTTCTTCATCCCAAGGATATCCTTCCAGCATTTTAGAACACAGATACTCTCAGGCCCTTAAATGTGACTCAAAAAGCAGGAGGCTTAACGAGTTCTATCAGAGAACAAGCTTTCTTATAAAGCTTCATGAAAGGGAGCAGAGACCTCTTTCCCCACATGGGGACCCTTGCCAGAGGTAACTGAGCCAGGGTGAGCCTTCCTACCATAACAAGTTTCTCCACATGAAGTTCTCTGCTTTCTCCCACATTAATGGGAGTTACTCATTTATATGAGCAAAAGTAAAGGGCACTGTTCTGGTGGGAGCTTAGTCTCTCCTATACTGTTGGTAATCTCAGTTTTGAAACACTTAGTCTGCTTGCTCTCTTTCTAATCTGCCTTCCACCACAGCCCCATTTAGTTTGTCTCAGAAAACCCAATGAAAAACTATTTGCACGGCTCTCCCTGCAACTGCTTTTCTTCAGTACACTACGATGGTATGTTAAACAAGTGAGATACGTTGCTGAGAGATGGTGGCTGACACAGAAGACTTTATATACAACCCCAAACAGGAGGTAAAAGAGTGTGCAGACCTTATTTCTCTGTAACACACAGAGGTTTTATTCTAGTGGGGGGGGGAACACACCTCCAAATTTCCAAGTAACTGAGTAGTACCATAACCTGTGCTTTATTCTTAAAATAATAATAAACTATCATTATAATAATATAATAATAACAAGCGATGTGTGTAGCAAGTGCTGATCTGTGTCCTCAAAGTCAATTCAGTTCCCAAAAGGGCAGTTGTCAGTGTCTGTGGATCAAGTAAAAAAATGTGGTGGAAGTAATTTGTCATTTTAAATCACAGGAACAGACAAAAGCAGTTCGACAGACAATCCAGGTTGAAAGTTGTTTGGAGGAGTACAGGTGATGAAACTAAAATCACAGGTGTGTTGGGAGACTCAATGCTGTTTGCTGACTAAGGAACCTAAGCATTGCAAAAACTAAAGAAAAAAACCCTATTATAAACATGTTCAGCCCCCATTTCAGGACCATTAACCTATCCTGATTATGTACTGCATTCTAGCATGCATTCCCAGCTTCCTGATAGCATTCCCTGCAAAAAGAAGCAACTTTCAGGTACTTCCTCATTCTCAGTTCTAAAAATCTAATGCAATCAGTTTAGACTCCCTTTCACAATACCTGTTTCATTTGACAAAACCGGGGTTCCATCAATTCATAGAACTCACCTGACTTAAACAAATCTTTTTCCAAAATATAAAAATGTATACAGTTGCACACCATTCAATCCCACCACCCCAATAAACACATTCATGACTGGGCAGACTTTTCATGCTATTTCAAGAAACTGGGAATATTTTAACTTTCACTTTCTTGGATTGGTTCCACCTCTATCCTGCCCCAACCCTGATTTTAAATATTTGTCTACAGAGGAATACATATCTATATGCCCCTCCTTTACTGAAATAACACTGGGACACAATTCACGTTGCAAAGCTGGTTGTGCAGCTACAGAAGGGGAGAGAAGAAAACACACAAAAAATCATGAAGAGTAGAATTGCATATTAAATCCTGTTTATATCACAAACCCACAGCAAAGGTTTACAAAAATCTCAAAGAACATAATACAGGGCGTACAAACTAATTCAATTCACATATCACAAGAATGATGAACTATATTGTAGCATTTGTCCTTGACATAAGAGTGCTAAATTTCATGTTGCATCTTAAGTACTGATACAGAAATGTGGTCTTTGCTAAAGCAGAGTCCTTTCATCACAAACAAAGAGGCTCCATTAAAAATTCTCACCAATTTTCAGATGTTTTCAGTATATACAATGCATAAATACCTATGGTCAACTTAACCCTTAACGTAACACTTGATAAACCAACAACACACAAGAGTATTGATTAAACCTAACATTTTCCCTCAAATATCTCCCTTCCCAAACCTCTTTTTTTTTTATTAGAGCTTTGCATTCCAGTCATAGGCACTTCATTGGGCAGACTGCTTAGTGAAAAATTTCCACTGTTTTTACCAGTTCTGGATTTATTGTTTCATGGTTCTTTATGGATCCAAAGGTTTACAATATATATGTATACATATAGAACATATATAGAACACACACACACACACACAGAGAGAGAGAGAGAGAGAGAGAGAGAGCCATATCAATATATATATATATCACTATATCAATATTTATTTTTTCCACTTTCACTACTTTCCCATCTTCAAAATCATTAATGAATACCGCCATCTTGTTCCACAGGGCAATGAAACTATTAAGAACTTGTATCCCTGGGGATCTTAGTGTGAATTAGTACAACCATTTTGTTTTATTTAAACCAATAAGCTACCAAACCCTCAGGAGGCTTAGTGTCAATAAAGTTCATCACAGCAAGAATATCAGCAAGATATAGAATAGACACATGTTCAAAACAATGCATGCTGAAATAGTGACTCCCAGCCCCCACCATGATCCCTGCAAAATTTGGAGATGCTTTTCCTTAAGAACTCCTTTGCCAATTTAGGACCCCGGAGACCATTACGAGAGCAGCCCCTGTCTCTGGAAACTCAACAAGTAGGGAATTAAAACAATAGCCTCTTCTTGTTTCCCCCAACAACCAATGTTTTTAAAAGGTGCAAACTACTAGTTACTTGTAGTGTGAAGAAATAATTACTTTGGTTGCTACATCAGGCATTTTGCTTCTTCTAGTGACATAAAGTTCCAATATAAGAAAATGGAAAGGATTATTTCTGCCTTCTTTTCACCATTCATAATTTTCTAAATCTCTACTGTTCCCCATCACCACCATCCTCTCCTGCCCCCCCCAGCAACTAAGAAAAGAAATAAGCCCGAACTATTCATCTTCTGCTTGTAAGAGATTACTCTAATTCCTTCATAGTTTTAAGTACCTTTCTCTCTCACTTATCTATGTCTATAAACTCCTTTTATTATTTACTGAAAGCATTTATAGTCCACCCTATATCACAAGATCACAGGGCAGGTTACAGAGCCATATAAACGATTTAGAAACATAAACTCTTTAAAACAATTTAAATTAAAACAGTTCAAAACACAAAAACATGAAAACCATTGCACCAGAACCTGCACAAGCCAAAATGCTCAACCTCCAGACACTCTAATAATAAGAATAAGAATGTTCTGATGGCACACTGAAGTGATGTCAATGTTAGCACCAGTCAAGCCTCCAAGGGCAGGGCATTTCATCGTTGAGGTGCTACAGCCAAGAAAGCCTTTCTCAATGTCTCCACCTAACACACAGCTCTTAATGGTTGGGCTTGGTAGAGGGCCTTCCCACTAGATCTTAGTAACCAGGCAAGTTTATATAGAGATAGGCACTCCTTCAAATATCTGGGTTCTAAGCCATTAAGGGTTTTGTAGGTCACAATCACCACCTTGAACTCTGACTGGAAGCACACTGGGCACCAGAGCAAGTCCTTCTGAACTAGTATCATGTGGGGGTCTGAAACACATTCCAATTAGGAGCCATGTTAAGTTAGAACAGATTTATAGTGACCAAGCAGCCTTTCACGGTAAGTGAGATATTTAAGGAGTGGTTTTACCAGTTCCACACCTCCAGCTAGCTTCCATGGCTGAGTAGGGATTTGAACCCAGGCCTCCTGAGTTTAGGTCCATCATTCTATCCACAAAATCACATTGAGTAGCAGCCTAGCCATTGTATATTGCACATCTTGCAGCACTAATGCCATTTTTAAGGGTCGGTCTATACAGACTGCATTGTAGTAGTCTAACTGGGAGGCTACCAGTGCATGGACTACTGAGGTCAGGTTGTCCCTGTCCAGGAATAGTCATAGCTTATAGAACGGTCAAAGTTGGGCCCAGGCACTCAAGCCACTAAGCTCACACAAGCCTTCAGTGACAAAAATTAGGAATACTGTACCTCCAAACTCCACTTAATAAGCAACTCCAAAAAGAACCAGTCTCCAACTCATCTCCCAAAGTTGGGAACCATGAACCACAGAGTTTCCATCTTCTTCGGATTCACTTTCACTTTACACACCCTCATCTAGCCTCCAGACATTGGTCCAGCACCTGCATGGCCTCAGCTGACCCCAATGATAAGCATATTGATGGCACCCAGCCCCAAACTCCTAAAGATGCTCTCCCAGCTGCATCCCACAGCTTCAACTTATTAACTGTTAGAGCAGTACAACAATGGAACTGATTACCTCGGGAGGTGGTGAGTGTTCCAACACTGGAGGCATTCAAGAGAAAACTGGGCAATCATGTGTCAGATCTGTTTGATTTGGATTTCTTCATTGAGCAGGGGATTGGACTCAATGGCCTTACAGGCTCCTTACAACTCCATTATTCTGTGAACTTGACCAAAGAATGTTCAAAGGTGCATTTGGTGGATACACAGAAGAGGGCCTTCTCTGTTGCTGCACCCAGACTTTAGAACTCCCTCCCACAGGAGGCTAGGCTGACCCCATCTTTACTGTGCTTCCTCAGGCAGGCAAAGACCTTCCTCTTCAGGCAAATTTTCTCTTAGTAACTGGCTGTCTGAGTGGAGTTTTTAAATGGACTGCTGTACCTTACTGCTTTGAATGTGTTTTGGTGCTGCTTATGTTTTTTTGTATGGCATTTGTTTGAACCTTTTAAGTATTTGTATGCTCACTGTGGTTGAGTTTAATAATGTCTTTTAATGATGTAAGCTGCCTCGGGTCCTTTTTAAGGAGAAAGGCAGGGTAAAAATATTTTGAATAAATAAATAAAGGCCCCAAAACAAAAACAGATTTAATTTAGAAAAAAAATATAACATTTTTAAAGGGGGTGTTACACATCCAACATTGTGAGGGGCAAAAGATAGCCAAAATCCCATCTCATACCCCCAAAGTGGTGTTTTTTGTACTCTTAGTTCTTAAATTCATA